AAAAATAAATAATATAATGTATTTATAAGAATGAAACAAAAAAAGAAGCAGAAACAAACCTGAGCAAAATAGTCCCTCCAAACTCTGCGAGCAATCTGGTGACCACCAAAACCGAAGGCCTATTGATGGTGAACTAGTCTCTGCAAGCTCCCCCGAAGTTGGGTATTTAGTATAGGTTGATGGGGAACTAGTCTCTGCAATATTTCAATTTCTCAGCAAACTAGGCACAGAGGGATGATGTGACCGCAATTTAATACCATAGGGCTAGTTGTAGGTTATCCCAACCCTTCCCCTTCGCGGTCCCCTGTTGATGTGACCCACTTAACATTAACAATCTGTTAAACTGTAAAACAGCGAAAAATTTATTGTACCAAGTGCGCTATGTCAGTTTTGTATCGGCTAAAAAAGAGAAAAAAAAAAATAATTATTATATTTTATATTATATTTTATCAATAAAACATAGGAAAATATTAACCTCATATCACATGAGACAACAACTCTTTCCTACACACTCAAAAAGACATGGGTCTCACTTCAATTTTTTTTTTTCCTCTTTTCCACTGTAATGGGACCCACTTAAAGTTGTGAGTGCAACTTAAAATAAATATCTCCTGTTACATAAGAAAATATAATCCCTAAAACATAATACCATGCACTGAATTTTAATTTGAGTGCATGAACTGAAAATGCTCACATAAAACAAGAATTAAAAAGTTGCAATTTTGAAATTAAACCAGAAACCCATACGAGAGAGAAAGGCCAACAAAATTTATTTATTGTTTTTAAATAAAAAATTTATGCATTTATTACTATTTTCAAAAAAATTGTATATTTATCACACAATGTGACGTTTTTTTTGGACGTGACATTATGCAGTACATTCGAAATTATTTCAAATATTATTATAAATGCGTAAATATTTTATTAAAAAGTAATAAATAAATTTTTTTGTCAAAGAAAAAGACATAGATGAAGAGTGATTTCACAAAAATTAAACACGTGTTACATTCAGTCATCGATAGCACGAAGAATTTCTCTTCAACCTTAGACTCAATTCATTAAATGTTGTAATGCAAATAGTAGAACGAGTAAATGAACCATAACAGCTCAATTATTGGGAGTGCTTCACGGATTTGGAAATGCTATTTCAGGACACCTGATCTTAAACTCCATTTGTTGGTCCCCCATTTGTTACCTCCTGTAAACACAATTTAGGAAATAGCAATTTTTATTTATTTATAATAGACCAATAAAGTTTAGTAGAAGATTTATTAGAGTGGTATTTAAGAAATTTTTACTGACATTTCATTTGAACAAGAAATTTGAGAGAAAAGAGGGAAGGGGGGTGAAAGGGAGATTTAACAAATTCTTACTAGTTACTACTGCGGGCATGAGAAGAGAAGAGAGAAAAGAAAAAGAAAAATGAATTTTTTTTATTATAAAGTGTTAAACCTGCTACTTTAAACTCAAATAAAAGGTCTTAATTAATTAAGTTTAGTACACGTGAAACATAGATGTTACTAGTGAGTATCAAACTAATTACATGATTTAGTTTAGGATAAAAATTAACCAAGTTTCAGCCAAAGCGCCCAAATTTCCATTTTGACCCCAGTAGATGGAAATTCCTCCAGATTCTCTTGCTATAGGATAAAAATCACAAATGAAAAAAATTTGTATCAAAGTTCGAAGCAAACATATTGCTGCTATTTTATGTGGCTTTCTTGGCATCGTTTGAGTCACTAGCTCTTTTTTTTTTTTTTAATTAAGGCTTGGAGAAGCATCATTTATATAGCTGAAGGTCGCAATTTGCTTTAACAGTAACCATGTTTTATTAGCGCAAATGACAGGCGTGCCTTAATCAGTAGAGTTATCTATAGTATATTTAAACTTGTTAGATTATAGCAAATTAATTTGTTTAGTAGAAAGACCCATTATTTCCACCGTGATGCAAATATAGCTTCTATGTTATTTTATTACCAAAAATGATATATAGGGACTTAGGTAAGCTAACTCATAAATTAGTCATTTCTCGTTAACAGCGCAAAATTATCATTAAATTAGTTGTCACTATAAATTAAGAATCGTGTGTTTAATAAGATTTTAAATATAAAATTATGTTTACCGAAAAAAAAATTATTGCCAAATTATGGTTTTGTGTTGTATGGACGAGATTAACATCGTTAAACCCCCGAAACGAAAACAATTCAGCAACGGAGAAAGTTTCAGAAAAAAAGGAGCATAATGTTGGGCAACTGGCTTATGAAAGATAGGATTCTAGAATAGGGCGTGTTCAGTTGTTCAGTCCTGTGGGTCGAAATGTCCAATTTAATGATTGGTATGTTTCAATGCTCTCTTTCAGGTATCTATTGAGAGATATCTTATAAATCAGCGGATCACTGTGTATTATAATAGACGGCATAGACAAGACATGAGATATGTGCTCGGTGATGTCTCTCTACCTCCCAAGACTTGCTCACAACATCTATGGTGATTGAACGAAGAAATTTGGAAGAAAATTGATTACTTGGCTCACAAGTTGAAGAGAGGAGGGTGACAAGCTTGGAGAAGCCAAGTTTCAAAAAAGAGGCGTAGCAAGTGTGAAATTATGACCTAGAAATTTGTGCATGCCTATATATAGTCTTCTTAAGTTTAATCCCACTGTATTAGCACTAATAGCTTCGCTAATCATTTTAATCTCAAACTTCAGATTCTGAATCTAGTCATTTTTCTAGGAATTTTTATATTTTTATTCTAATTTTCGCAGCACTTTTTCGGTACGCATTTTTACATAGCCAGTATCAGTTCTGACGTCAGTTCTCATTATTATCAATCCAAACTTGGTTTACTAGACCTAGGTATTATTCTAGGAATATTCATGTGCTTATTATAATTTTTAGAGATGCTTCATCGGTACACATTTATACTGAGAAACAGAACCGATCTCTGCACTTTTTGTCAGAAAAACGATTTTAAGCGTTATTATACCCTTGTGATAATTATTCTAACCTTACCATATTTATCCGAGGTATATTATGAAATTATTCTCTTAAACTCATAATTAATTATTTAAATTCATAATTTAACGGTACGAGTTCTTATATATGTCGTATTGGTTTGATCCTTTATTATAGGTGAATTACCTCACATTAGTAAAATTATGGACCGCTTAAAAATAGTGAAGGTCTATTCTTGATCCATTACTATAACATTAATAAAGAAATATTCTTTTAGCTACTAGCCCTTCTTAAACCTTTTAAAATATGAGTCTTTATCAAGGCCATAAGAGCTTGTGTTCTTTGTATCGTTTTTGGAAGTTGACAGCATCGAAATTGGGGCGGCAATTAAGCAAGAAACTAGAAACTTCACAATATATAATTGGATAACATTTATCGCTATATACCCAAACCAATTACTTCATTTAAAGCTCCTGACATCTCCATCACCATGAAGATTATTTTGATAAAGGTGTATTGTATATTTCTACATATTTTTCAGTAAACAAAAAAATTTATTTCACTAAAAAAAGAAAAGAAAGAAAGAAAAAGTATATCTTAATTAAACAAAACTAAAACTATAATTTAATTATAACAATGAGATTTAAGAAATTACCTACGGACGAAGCTGCTTCAGGCTAAACCTCAAGGCGAATATAGAATAAAGAGAGGAATAAATGATGAGGAAAAAAGATTTATTTTTTATTTTTTTGGGTTAAAACAAAGGATGATATTCATTTTCATATTGCTAATTGTCAAAAGAATTAAATTATTTATTAAAAGAGAGGAACCTTGTTTATTCATGTTCCCATCACATCCCAGAGAGCGCTAGAAACCTTGATTCTTTAATAGGCTTAATTACTTTACTTAATATAGCATTAAAAAAAAGGAAGTACATATTTGAAAAACCAAACATAATTAGGAGCCAAGAAAGAGAATAGAAATGAAAAACTGAAAAGTATAAACTTTAGCTAGGAATCTTCAAGAAAGGAAGCAATTAATTAATTGCTACTCCCAGCTAGATTATTGATGTTTGCTTGCAACTCAGACCTTGCACCTTTTGATGCAAATATTCTCTACTTTATTTTGGTTCCTTCAACATGTGGTATATGTTTTCCTTTATTTGGTTTCAATGGGCATCACTATGGTTATGTTACTAATAGTTTTAGGTGATGTTTGGTTGGGAGCTTTTCAACGGATATCTATATTTCTCAAGTATGGCTTTTAGAAACACCATGTTTATTTCAATATTTTTTACCAAAAACCCATCTATCCAATTTGCCTGGATTTATGAGAAACATAGATATCCTCACTGTTTAGAAACCCAATTTGAAGGTGGGATTTTTCGGAAAATCGGTTATCTGACTTTTAATGCACTGTTGATTTCATAAAATTATCTAATTTTTCCAGTAAAGTTTTTCCCCACCAAACAACTTTTTTTTACATTTTTCTACCTATCTCACTTTATCTATCTTTCCAATCAGTTCTCTATCTATCTCATTTTCCTACTATTCCAAAAAAATTTCCTAAACCAAACGCACCTCGTCCTACTATTAGTGCCATTTCTCCTTGTGCAGGATGGACTCTCCCACTTTTCCAACCTAACACAGCTTTTCCCCCTCATCCTATAATCACAATCATATAATTATTTCAAAATGATAATTGGTGTATCAGAAATTCACGTATCATTTATATATATGAATATGAACATCTGTGCACTACAATTACAACATCTATAAGTAACATCTTCCATTGTTGGTTCTCTTTCTTTTATTTTATACCAAGTCACTTGAAAAGAGAACAAGGAAGAACACTATGGCACCATCCAATAGTAAAAAAAAAAAAAATACAAAAAAAAAAGGAACAAAGAATCACCCTGGTCTATTCTGGGTTGTTCTTGTCTTAAACCAGTTATGAACCATAATACTAATATCTTAGTCTCCCTTATTCTAAAAAAACCATAACAAAGGGAGATGATGAAGTTGAGCTTTTGTGTGTACTTGAAATTCAGGCATCACTTTGCATGTTTTCTCTTTTTCTCTTCAATGACTCTTGCTTCTGCAATATCATTTGCCTGCGAAACTTCTTGATAAAAAGATCAGCTACATGGTCAATCTCATCCTCAAGTTTAAACTCTTGCCCTGCTTCTTCCTTAGAATTCTTCACCAAATCAATCACTGAGGCCCCAAGATCCAAATCTTCTGAATCAAAAAGAGTGTGGGTTAGATCAGGGTACTTATCATCATCATCATATCCACCCCCATAGTTGTAGTAACAACTTTCATACTCATCCTGGTCTATTTTCTCCATCACTTGTGTCTCATTGGGATTGGGCAAGGCCTCATAGGAGTGTGCATTGTTGTTATACACCACTATGGCCCTGCTATTGTCTCTGCCATGCTCCAATATACAATCCTCATTGGACTCAGAATGGTGCCCCAAGAATGAGTGGAACTTCTCGGTGATTGAGTTCATCAGGAACTTCTTGTTCTTCATGAGTGAGAATATAATGAGACGAGCCTTGATGGCGTTTGTTTTGGACTTCAAGGCCATAGTTTTTGACTTGGCCATTGAGCTTAGAGCAGCTATGATCTGCTTTACAAACCTAGATGTTCTGTTCTTCATGTTGCTCATTGTTATAGTGGTAACTAACAAAGTAACAATGATCACTCTATAGACTTCCGAAACAACTTGTGAAGTAGTAAATCAAATCAAAACAAGAAACAATATTGTGGGAATGTTTGTGATTGTGGTTTTGAGAGAGAGGGAGATTGTATATGAAGAGGGTTACTATTGTACAAGCTTGTACGTTAATCACACAAAAGAAGTATTTTGGCACGAAAGAGAACAAGGTGGGGGCATGTGTTTATATAGGCGATGCAGCAAGGTATGCATCTTGTGACAACTTGATGTGTTTGTGTGAGAGAAGCATGCTCTAACAAAAGAAAGAGTGGGGGCTAAGAAAAGAAAAGAGAGAGGCTTTGAAAGTGAAAGCAAAAGATGGAGATAAAGTTTAGGACACTTGGCATTTCATGATTGGGCTTTGTGAGTTATGGATGGTTCAGTGGTATACGAAGTTTCGCAATTTTAGTAGGCAGAAATTATTAGTGGGGTTGGATTGTGGAATGGGGAATTTTTCCCTTTTAACGAATTTGATGTTTTTAGATTTGATTTCTCCAAAAGAAAAAGGTGTTGAGAGATTACCCTCTTCAACTTTTCCTTTTATGAGCTTTGATACAATTATTGGTACTCAATGTACAATTTGGGGTGTGTTTTAGTACATGTTTGCTTAAAATTTTAAAGGGAATTGATTTCGAATAGAATTAATGTCATGAAAGTTGATTGTAAAATATTAGTTTGTTCAAGCATTGTTGAATAGAATTACTTTTAAATTGTTAAATTATTAAAAAACATGGCAAATTATTTTACATCGGTGTAAATTACATTTTCAATTTTGATCGTTGGTCCTATTTATATCTAATAGCTTAAATTTATTATATATGTGAACTGTTAAATACAAGTAAATCAATAATTAAAATTTGATGTAAAATTTATTATTCTTACACTAGTATAAGAATTACATATCCCAATATGAAATTACAAAACCTCAAAATCTAGAACTAAGAGGTCATTCTTTAGTAGCTTAGCCGTTTTCGTTTGGCCCCTTTCAATTATTTGATCACTATTTGGGGGGACCTTTGAAGCTTTTGAGGAACTGAAATGGGGACATAGACAAACTAACCTAACCCATCAAGATGGCAATAGAACAATATTACTGTTCAATACATTCCCTTTAGATATATTTTCGGGCTGAATGAAAAAACAACCATAAACCTTGGACAAATATTACACAGCTTCTTTCTTTTGAGAAATGAAAAGAGGGTGGTACCACTGACATTGCATTTGGATAATATTCTATTGTTTTTGGTATAAATAGGAATCTCAATTTCTTAGTGTAGTCATCTTCAAGTTCAACAAACGAGAAAGCTTACATCACAGGCCCGTTCAAAATTTCTGAGCCACTTGATACTATAGCAACGGATTTCAAGGCATAGCGTGAGGAAGGTTGAAATGTTGATTATATATCCAATTATTGTTTCTCGTCTTTGAAAACTTAGCCCTTAAGGTTACGCATAACGGCTTCACATTTTTCATTTGGATCTTCTCTGCTTTATAGTGCCGTGTGCTTTCTTGTTTGTATGTAAATGGTAATAAAGGAAATAAATAAATAGATAATGATAACTGGATTTATATAACCTAGCACGAGGCACTGTCTAATTAAGGATTCTGTTGAGTGACTTAAAAAAAAAAGTAATTATTTTACAACAAAATGTTTAGTCATTTCTTTATTTTGTAGTAAAAAATACAGCAATGTAAGTATTCATAATAAATTTACTTTTTACAGCCTTTTATAGTATGTTCGAGTTCTTTAAATATGTGGGAAACTTTCTAACAATTTGAGTCAACATTCCGTGATTAATAAAATGTAATCATTTTGTTATGGAATATAAATATTAAAAAAAAATCACGTTATTGTGAATCTGTAACTGATGTTTTATGAAAAAATATTATTTAAAAAGAAAGGATTTTATTTTTCTCTTGTTGATGGAAAAAAATTATTTCATACAAAAAAAAAATTATGTATTACAAGTAATATTTGTTATAATGGTAAAATAGTTTTTTCTTTTTTCGCCAAATCAGTCGACAATGTAGAAAAGAAAAAACAAAACAAAACAATTTTAATATCATAAATGTGTTCTACTCGTAGTACATAATTATTTTTTATTTTTTTTTGCATGAGATAATTTTTTTCCAACAACAAAATTTATTACTTTGCTCTTTGCACAGCTACGTTGACTACTAGAAAAATCATGTATAGCAAGGGAATTGCTATGCAAATTCCGTCGCTAATTTCATCATCGCTACTATTTTTCATCGCAAAATCCCTCGCAAACAATTTTGCGAGGGAATTTGCGAGGGAAAGTAGTAGCGAGGATGAAATTAGCGACGAAATTTACATAACAATTCCCTCGCTATACAAGATTTTTCTAGTACCGGGTTAGTCTTAGAATATATCTAGGCTTTTGTGTTTTGTTGTATCATGCTGTTTTATTTATTTATTTCGTATCTAGTTAGTACTTATAATCCAAAACTTTGGATAATAACTCGTGTAACTAATAAAATGAATATTTCTTATTCATTGATTGAGCTAATAATTAGTTTGGTTTGATTTATAATTAAGATATGTGAGGGTTTGTTAGAATATGTTCATTAATTCAAAATCTTATTCAATACCAGAAAAAATCTGTATAATAACGAAATTTCAATATAATTTTTCTCGCAAAATTCGTGACTAATTTGATTTCCCTAATAATTCGCAAGCCTCATTTGCGGAAATATCTATTGTGCAGCCGTCGCACAATGCATTCCATGCGACCAACCAATAGAAATGGAGCAAGAAGCTATGTTGGCATACGGAAAAAAGAAAAATTTACTTTTTAATCCACTTGTCATTTTTTCAATTGCAGACGCACATACCGCTGCCGTACAGAAGATGATCTCCTCATTTACGAAGGAATGCGAGGATGGATATATATATGTAACTGAACTTTGTCTATTCTTTTGCTTTGTGGACCTTTCTTTGCAGCTTCTGAAACATCAACTTTTGTACAACTTGATATTTTTAATGGAAGAACAGTGGAGCTTTGGCTTTGGTTGTGTTCGCTTTTGTGGATCTGATATTCCTACCAAAGTGACTAATTAACTATAGGAAATGCATGCTATAGCATGATGCATGCATTTGTAAGTATGTGTCTCTCAAATCAAAACCGGAAGAGGTGCTTACTTTAGCTGCATGCACGCGATTTAATTTTGCTATATTTTTATTTTATTTATTTATTTTGTATCTAGTTAGTACTTATAATCCAAAACTTTGGATAATAACTCGTGTAATTAATAAAATGAATATTTCCTATTCATTGATTGAGCTAATAATTAATTTGGTTTGATTTATAATTAAGATATGTGAGGGTTTGTTTGAACTTTGAATATGCTCATTAATTCAAAATCTTATTTTAAGAGTCACTGGTGGGCGGTAAATTTCATGATAATTTACAACAAAAGAAAAAGAAAAAGAAAACAGAAAGAGAGAGGCCAGTATGGGAAAAGAAGAATAATGTTGTAGGAAAATTGTTAGGTTATGTTATAGAGATAGGAATTGTGGGACCCACACTTATTATTATTATTATTATTATTTTTGAAAACAAGTGTGGATCCCACAATTCTTATCTCTATAACATAACCTAACAACTTTCCTACAACATTATACTTTTATTTCTCTATAAGTATACAAAGTAAAGTTAAGTTTTAAATGCGAAGTTATTAATACCTTTTTCTGCCACATGCAAACCTGCAACCACAATTTCATCATCATGTATTTTAAAGCATCTTTTAGTATCTACTTAATCTAAACTTGGCAAGTTCAATTTCTCAACGAAATATACATGAACCATGTGTCCAATAGTATTGGTCCCATGAAAGTCTGCTTTTACGTGTATACTGCCTAAAAAATCGTGGACATGTGTGGGTCAATATTAAAAGCTAAAACCGTACCGGTCATTAGGTGAAGAAAACCAGTTCAACATTTTAGATTGGTTATTAAAGAGATCTGAACTCGGTTTAACTCGTTCAGAACTCGGCCAAAACCAATCCTTCAGAAGTTATGAATTAATAATTAAAAACTACGTTTGTTTTATGGATTTCATGTGTCTCATGTCAATCTCCTATACACATACAAGTATATAGAGTTTATATTTTCTTTTTTTCTCTTATTTTCATATGACCTCATATAAATCTCACACGTCTTTATATATGTGTAGGAAATAATTTCATTTGCTATAACATGAAAATCATTGAACCCTTATTTTATATAATGAAAAAAATAAACGGTAGCAAAACACGGAAAGAAAAAGAGGAAGTAAAATAAAGAATATGTATGAATCTAAGAAATTTTTCTCTTTCAGCCGTTGATTTCCATATATGTTGTCACTGCAACAAGTCGGTTGTTCAGACAACACAGATATTTACGGTATGCTTCAAATCTGTGATCCTTTCTCTTCCATCAAAGCAGAAGTTTTGATTATTGCTTCCTTTTAATTATTGGCTAAGTAGTTAAAAGTAATCAAAGCACATGTTTTAATGAGTAGTACTTTTGTATTGCAGAGCACTTTAATAATTTGATTACGTTTGGTTCCTTTTGATTATTATTGAGTCATCAAAGTAATCAAAGCACAAATTTTGATTAATAAATTATTATTATTATTACGTCTTGTATTGCAAAACAATTTGGTAATTTGGTTATATTAGTTCCTCTTACTTTTACATTGGTTGTTTACATGTGTTATGAAGTTATGATTGTAAATTTGTGTCGTCTATTTATATTTTCAACTTGTTAAAGTGTGTTTAGGCGCTTGTGTAATGGTCATTTGAAATTTAAAAGATGAATTTAATTATTAAATTGTGTTAAGCATTTATGTTACGATTATTTGTATACCAATGACATAATAATTGAACCGGGAATCCATTAGCTTACCAAGTCGATGACGGAATCGAATTTAATAACATTGAAATGGTCA